TTCATGTATATGTTGATTTCGTATCATGTCTCTAAGATTAAAGCCACTCATCCACCTGAGCATCCTCATTTCTACAACAATTAACTTAATAAAATGTTAGAACAAAAACAAAATAAAAAATAAATAAAAAATAATAGCGATGCCAAATAGGCCCTAAGAAAAAAAAAATTCTCTTCTTGATTTTTACAATTAATTAAGGTTTTAAATTCCTTTTAAAAGGACCGTTTAATGCAACAAAAATTAGAGAGTTTCAAGCTCCAAATCTGTGATTTCAAATCTCCCTCCCTCTCTCTCTCTCTCTCTACATAGGAGTAGGCTGACCCTTTCCTTCCTGCTTTCGGTCAATTTGGCTAGAACCAAAAGCCAATAAGGCTAGGGAAATCTGCCAAGCAACTGACCTAGCTTTGGAATGTTCTAGTTGGTCAAACTCTGTACAGAATAGTGAATGTACTAACAAGACAGCAAACTGCAACCATTTCAAGGAGAGTTCCACCAACAACAGTGGAAAGGGAATAGGAGGGAGGGAATCATCTAAAGGCTTGTACACAATTCCCCACCACATTTGCAACCAGTACTCTTCAACCATTTAACCGACCCTTGGTTAATTGATTTTTTAGTTTTTGGATCATCTTTCTTGAATAAAGCCAACAAGATCAGCTTACAGGGGAAAATAGTGAAGGCAAAAACCAACCGATGCACACAACCTAAGAGGTTAATCAAAACTTCAATAAAGTAGAGATATTGAAAAAGACAACAGATGCTAGCAGGCTTGAAAGCAGATTACAGGTCCTAGAAGGTATATTTTGATAGTTAATGGCCTGATAGCAATGAGGAACAATAACGAGTTGTGGTATTTCACTTACCCATGCCATTAACGGTACAAGTGCTACCAATCCAAATGGCAAAAATTTTGAAGAAGCTAAGAAAAGAGAGGGCAGAGAAGTTAAATGCCATTTTGAAGAAGCTCTCTACTATTGGCCACAACTGAGAGAAACGGATACAATGGCAAAGGCAAAAACAAGAATTATGGCAGTCCGTATCAGACAACATTATCGAATCCTACAAGCGGACCAATTCTCTAGACAAAATTTTTGAAGGAATCTCAACCATAATGAAGTTTAGCGTTAAGGTTGCATGAAAACCTTTATCGAGAATTGAAGTTATTCTTCATCGCCTTGATTGATGAAGCTGGTGTCAAGGTGATGGCCATAGCAGCTAAAAATCAACCAATGATTGGCAACAAGAAGAATAACCTCATAAGAACAAGAGCAAATGCAAAGTAAAAGATGGAGAAAAAGGCAACTAAGGCCAGCAAAACAGCAAAAAGGATTTTTTTTTTTTATGCACGTTGCCAACTCTTGTGGACATACCAATGCCAAGTGTTGGCAGCTCAACCCAGAATTGAGGCCAAAAGATGGAAGAAAGGCAAAGCAGCTACCGTGGCATACTCAAAATAAGTGTAAATTGCTGGGATACAACAGATGAACCACACCATCATTTTCATGGCTCATAGGAAGCCATCTAGATGGCAGAAACTGCAGAAATCAGCAAACAGAAAGACAAGTACAGCAGTAGACAACAATTTCAGTTAGTAAGAGATTCATACCATTAAGACTGTTACACTATTTCTAGAACTATTCCATTTTATCTTCATCTGGTCTCCCTCAATCAAGCCTGAAAGATGAATAGTGCCAGTCATGATTTTGTATTGCTTCTCTAGCATCAGATGATAATAAAATCAAATAAGATCTGTTTTCTTTCAGTGCTTGATCCTTCCGAGGGCAAGCAAATAAACCAACTTTTACCAGAGTTTTCTACCATTCTCCAATAAGTGACAGATTTACCACCCAAAAAAGTTATGGAGAATGAACTATCATTGATCGAGGGAGCTACTTTGTCAAATCAACACATGTGATTCCATTCTCCACTAGGGTCTAAGGTGCTTGGATGTGATATGGAAAACCAAAGCACAGTAGGGAACGATCGCAATCAACAATTCCCCAGACAAATCACCAACAGCTGTGGGCTCCGAAAATTCGGCCCCGGCCTCCCCGCCGCGCGATTTCTTTTATTATTCTTTTTATTCGGCGAGGGAGTTTTAACAGAATAAGTAAGTTCCGGGTAAATTTTGGAAGGCAGTGGGTTTGAGATTAGACAAACTAAACCAGAAGAATTCTCACCCTCATTTTGCGCGAGGACTTTGATGATTGAGGTTCTGGTTTCCTAAGGCGCATTGCCCTATAGTTAATTTACCCCTCCCGAGATCAGAAAGAGAATTTCGATTAATGGGCTAGGGTCAATTCAGATACGTAATGATATTAGCGTGGTTATCTGGCATATAAGTAGCAGCATGGCGATAGGTATTTGGAAATTGGGTTTGGATTTAGAATTTGGAGTAAGTTGGATATTTAAACAGAAATTTCACCATTCTTAGCACTTTAAAACGGATGGTAGGGTGAATCGTGATGATAGACCCGATCAAGATCCCATGGTTCGCGTC